CACACACACACTTCCTTCTCCTTTTCCTTTCTGTTCTCCTGGAGGAGAGACATCTCAGATCAGGACCATCAGAAGAAAAGCCACCTGTGGCTCTTCTGAAAGGCATCTAAAGTCTGCCTCCCACAAACCCAGATCTGGGTCTTTCCTGTTCGTGTTGTAGAGCATTGCTTGTGCTAGCCTTCTAATTTATTTACTTGGATTTCCCTGTGATATAATATGCTGTTAACCATCTTCATTCTATCTTTTAATTTTTAAATTTGTGTTTTCAGGAAGCAGGTGTCCCTGACCTTAGCTGTTATTTTCTGAGACACAACATGCTTTCACAATCCTGAGAAGGAGGCATTGGAGATTGTATGCGTAGTTCTTTCATTTCTTAACAATCATGTCCTAATTCTAGTTTTAGTTCTTGCTTTGGAAACAGTAGGTGTTAAATAAGTATTGGTTGATTAGTTCTCTTTTATTTTTCCCTTTCCTGTTGAGATGTAGTCAATTAATATAGCCTTTCTAGCCATAATCCCTTTTGTGATGTATTGTAAATTCTAGCTTCTGCGCGTGTGGTTGGAATCCCATTTTAGAGGGAGTTCTCTGTTAGGCTAATGACAGGCTCAAGGTGAGTCTCCACCTTATTAGAGAGTCATGACCTTTTGTTTCCTTGGTGATATGATCTGCTGCATAACAAAAAACACACCTCCATCTAGAAGTGCTATCTCAGATTGAGGACCAGAAAGAAAGTCCAGAGCCATCAGAAGAGCCACCAAAAACATAGACAGAAGTCTGTCTAAAGTGGCTAACCAACACCAGAGGTACCAGTTGCTGTGGCATGGAGACCTTGGGACAGAGCAAAGGAGCCAGGCTGAGACCAGAGACTGAGGCAAGGAGATTTTGAGACAGAGCAGGGGGCCAGTGTCCAGACTATGAGACTGAGAGGCAGAACAGAAGGCACACTCCTTGACCCCTAAGAAAGAGGCCAAGGGACCATGTGGCTGAGCGAGCAGCTGAGGACCTGAGAGAGACACTTGGCTGCTGATTGAGGACCAATGACTGTCCTTAATGTTTTCTGATCTGGGCCTGTTGACTTTCTTAACCAACCCCCGTCATTTTGAGTGTTGTCTCTGGGTAACACATGGCCACTGCAATGAATTATAAAACCCAGCAGACAAGTAGAGTGCTGTGGGAGGAACAAATGTTACAGCAGGGAGAAAAAAAGATGGAGGGTAGAGGCATGCCTGCCCTCTGCCAAG